CTATCTATCTATCCATCTATCTATCTATCATCTATCTATCCATCTATCCATCTATCCATCCATCTATCTATCTATCTATATTTTTTGTGTTCAGTGTGATTAAAAGAAATCCGTTTCCCCTGCCCAGATTGATGATTACGCCAATAAGCGCTACGAGGTGCCGGTGCCACTCAACCTCCCCAGCACCCCCACGAGCTCCATCGAGCGCCGCCTCTACGATGTCAGCGTTCAGACCAAGCCTTTCGGGATCCAGATCCGCCGCAGGAACACCGGGGCTGTCATGTAAGCACGCTAATTGCCTGGAATCTGAGGGAAATCAGAATTCAAAGAGGCGGTTTTGAATTTGGAGAAGTTGGGAATTTGGAAGAAGTTGGGAATTTGGAAGAGAAGAAGCTGGCAATTTGGAACAAGGGAAGTTGGGAATTTGGAAGAGGGGAAGTTGGGAATTTGGAACAAGGGAAGTTGGGCATTTGACAGAAGGGGAAGTTGGGAATTTGGAAGAAGTTGGGAATTTGGAAGAAGGGGAAGTTGGGAATCTGGAAGAGAAGAAGCTGGCAATTTGGAAGAGGGGAAGTTGGGCATTTGGAAGAGGAGAGGTTGGGAATTTGAAAGAGAGGAAGTTGGGAATTTGGAAGAAGTTGGGAATTTGGAAGTGGGGAAGTTGGGAATTTGGAAGAAGTTGGGAATTTGAAAGAGAGGAAGTTGGGAATTTGGAAGAGGGGAAGCTGGGAATTTGGAAGAGAAGAAGCTGGCAATTTGGAAGAGAGGAAGTTGGGAATTTGGAAGAAGTTGGGAATTTGGAAGAGAGGAAGTTGGGAATTTGGAGAAGTTGGGAATTTGGAGAAGTTGGGAATTTGGAAAAAGTTGGGAATTCTGAAGAGGAAAAGTTAGGAATTTGGAAGAGGGAAAGTTGAGAATTTGACAGAAGGGGAAGTTGGGAATTTGGAAGAAGTTGGGCATTTGGAAGAGCAGAAGTTGGGAATTTTGGAAGAGCAGAAGTTGGGAATTTGGAAGAGCAGAAGTTGGGAATTTGGAAGAGGGGAAGTTGGGCATTTGGAAGAGGAAAAGTTGGGAATTTGGAAGAGGAAAAGTTGGGAATTTGGAAGAAGTTGGGCATTTGGAAGAAGTTGGGCATTTGGAAGTGGGGAAGTTGGGCATTTGTAAGAGGAGAAGGTGAGAATTCAGAGGAATTTGGAATGTGGAGGAGGAGCGAATTGGTTGAGGACGCACACTGACCTTTCTGCCTCCCCCTCTGCCCCCCAGCTGGGACTCGCAGCTGCCCACCTTCACCTTCAGTGATATGTTCATCCAGATCTCCACCCGCCTGCCCTCCTCCTACCTCTATGGCTTCGGTGAGACTGAGCACACGCAGTACCACCGCGACCTGAACTGGCACACGTGGGGCATGTTCAGCCGGGACCAACCCCCAGGGGTCAGTGAAAATCCCTTTTTTTGTTCTTGTTTGGTTGGTTTCCCCTTTTTTGGCTGGAATTTCTGCTTCTTGCTTCCCATCGACCCAATGTTGGTTTTGCCATGGGAATCCGTCCTCCAAGTTTTCAACTCAAACTTTGGGTCTCAGCTCGATGGAATTCCAGAATTTGAGGGGCTCGATTTTAAAATTAAGAAATTTGATTTGAAGTGTTGTTGTTTGGTTTTCCCTTTTTTGGCTGGAATTTCTGCTTCTTGCTTCCCATCGACCCAATTTTGGTTTCGCCACGGGGATCCGTCCTCCAAGTTCTCAACTCAAACTCTGGGTCTGAGCTCGATGGAACTCCAGAATTTGGGGGTTCGATTTTAAAATTAAGAAATTTGATTTTGAAATTAAAAATCAGATTAAAATCAATTAAATTTAAAATCGTTAAATTCGAAGAATTAAATTGAAAATTAAAAAAACATCAGCACTCACAAAAGCGCCGCGTATGACGGCCTGCGCAGCTCAAACGTTTCCGAAGGTTTCCCTGTGGAACTGCGACTCCACGGTTTACTTTTTACTTTTTTAAGCTCATGGGTTTTATTTTGTGGATTTTGATACGACGTGGAAAATCCAGCACAAAAGTTGAGCAAATGAAAATATTTTCGTTTCGGGTAAATGGACAAAATAAGAAGTTTCTACCTTGAAATGCTTGGAAAGTTTCCTCCTTAAAGAGCATTTCTTAGCAATTTGTAGAGGCAGGAACACAATTTCTTCCCTGCCTTTGAAAGCATTTTCTTCTAGGAACACTTTTTTTAGGCTTTGGCAAAAATTCAGTTTTCAAATCTTCATTTTCCAGCCTGTAATTTTCCAATTTTTCACTTTCAAATTGTAACGGCCAGATTTCAGGGCTCAGATTTTCCTGTGCAACTCATATTTTTTGAATTTTAAATTTGCACGTCGTGATTTCGTTGTGTTTTTATTTTTACATCTGCTTCCCTCTCTGCTTGAGTTGGTCGACCTCAAAATTTGGGGTTAACCAAGTTGGGAGCTGACAAAAGATGGGGGTGAGAAAACTTGACACCGCCTTCGGGCTGATAATGTTTGATGATGGCAAAATTTGAGGCCGACTGAATTCAGAGGCGACAAGAATTGGAGACAACAAAATTTGACAACACCGGAATTCGGTGCTGACAGAACTGGGGGGGGGGCAGAAAAATTTGGTGACAAGAAAATCTGGTGGGGAAAAAAAATAAATGGGGGACAGGACAGCTTGGTGCCAACAAAATTCACGGCCAACAAAACTTGGGGCCAGTATAATTAATGACTGCAATGTTTGATGACAACAAAATTCAGGGCCAACAAAATCTGGGGCCAATATAATTTGAGGACCACAACATTTGACGACAACAAAACTTGGGGCCAACAAAACTTGGGGCCAATGTAATTTGATGACTGCAACATTTGATGACAACAAAATTCAGGGCCAACAAAATTTGGGGCCAATATAATTCAATGACCGCAACATTTGATGACAACAAAATCTAGGGCCAATATAATTTGACGACCACAACATTTGATGACAACAAAATTTGATAACAACAGAACCTTGGGGCCGGCACAGTTTGGTGCCCCTGGTTGATGTTTAGCGCAGTGTTTCAATTGATTTCCGACAGAATTTCATGGTGGAAGCGAACAACCTGATGTTTGCAGTGTTGTTTCAACAGGAAATCCTTCTTTTTTCAGTACAAGCTGAATACGTACGGCGTCCAGCCGTTCTACATGGGTCTGGAAGAAGATGGCAACGCCCATGGAGTTCTCTTGCTCAACAGCAATGCAATGGGTGAGAAAAAGAAAACAAAAATTAAAGATCCGTTTCATTTTTTCAACATTTCTATGTGTTTGTTTTATTTTTTTTTTGAGATTTCAGCTGATTTTTGGGGCGCTTTTGTCGCCTGTGTTTTCAGATGTAACCTTCCAGCCCACGCCGGCTCTCACCTACCGCACCATCGGGGGAATTTTGGATTTTTACGTCGTTTTTGGCCCGACGCCGGAGGCGGTCGTTCAGCAATACACCGAGGTACAATTCCCCCATTACACCCCCCCCCCTTAAATTTGGGGTCTGTTGCTTCGTTTTCATTCCTTTTCGATTTCATTTGCCTTCATTTGTGGTTGCAGCTGGTGGGGCGACCGGTGATGCCGCCCTACTGGGCGCTGGGATTCCAGCTGTGCCGCTACGGCTATGAGAACGACTCCGAAATTGCCCAGCTGGTGGAGGACATGAAAGCAGCCCGAATACCCTACGTACGTCCTCCGAAACCAGAGGAAATGTGGGACAAACGGGGGCCTTTCCGTCTCCTTTGGCACCGTTAAAAGCGCTGAAGGAAACGCAGTCGTTAATTCCACGGCGTAAAATTTCCTTAATCCTCCTGTGAACATTTTCAGTCATTCATTCTATAGTTAGCATTTATTTTTTTTTTCAGTAACTCATTCAATAGTTAAAAAACCTCACAATTATAATATAGGTTTTTTTAGTTATAATATAATACGTATTATCTAACA